TATTTTAAATGTTTGGAAAAATAATAAAATCAGATTAACGAATTTTAGCAGTTGTGTGTACAATTATAGATCAGGTATATTTGTGAAGGTTTAGTGGAGTTGCTTGACAGGTTCAGGTACCTGTCATGCAATACCAAAAGCTAAAATTTTAAATATTTGGAAAAATAATAAAATCCGATTCATGAAACTTGGCAGTCGTGTGTCCAATTATAGGTCAGATATATCCGCGAAGTTTCTATAGAATGGTTTCACAAGTTTGAGTAATTGCTACACAACAACGAAAGGTGTAGGGTATAATTCAATCGGTTTATACCGACTGAAACGTTTTTACTTGTTTTAAATTAATTTTTGCTTTATTTCAAAAACTGCATAAATCGTTCATCCTAAATATATGCAATCTTAGAATTAGTTTCGTGTATGAATTAAAATAATTTTAATAGTGTGGTAGGTATACATAGATTGTTTTTAAAAGCAATATTTTCACTTGTTGAAGCTACAATACAAACCATTGATTTAACCCAACTTTATTTTATAAGAAGTTTTGAAATAGATTTATGTCGTATAAAGATTAAAATTGTTTCTTATTTGAGCAAAACTATTACAAGTTTTCAAAAATTTTATTTACAAAACAGAAATATTATCTCCGAAAAGGTTTAGGACCGCTTTAATAATGGGTTTTTTTGCTTTTGAGGCTTATCATTTTAAAACACGTTTTTATTATATTATAGTAGAGCACAGTAATTGGGACTAAATGTTAATTATATTCATTATATTTTTACTAAAGGCCTTTGTTCAAATAGCTATATTCAAATAACTATGTTCAAAAATATTGAAACAATATCCAGACATGAGGGCATGTGGTATCTACATCCATAAATAATTAATTTAATGAAAGTTAAAATTAGATTAGATAATCAGTCGTGGATTCACAAAGTATGATATCATTATAATTTAATCTGTAGGATTCGAAAATATGATATAATTAGATATGTAGTATCAGACATTCAAAATATATCAAGGCCTGGACACTCCTTTTTTGCAAATATATTCCTGTTTCCATATTGTAAAAAAAATGTTTTCGCTGTAGAGTTCGTGTTCCTTATTGTATTTCAAAAGCTTTCGGCGATGTAGTAAATTTCAAATTGTTTGGAAACCCATCTGAATACGCCCAAAAAAAGCGGAGTGCGCCTTGGAAAATTTCCCAATGATTTTAATAAATTTCAAAATTTTCTTTTACTTGACCGACAAAATCCTTCTGACAAATTCGTTATTGCATTTTTTGCAATTTTTTTTTCCAGTAAACCTATACTTAACTATAAATAATTTGAATTTAAATATCACTAACAATTAATTTTAGGAAATGGCAACCTAATTTTGAAATTTTATAAATTTCAAAAATGACAAATCACGAATAAACATTTAATGCGTTATGACATTACGTTAAAGATTGCGTTCCGTATTATTTTTTGAAATTATGCATTATTTTGGCCATCTAAGAAAGACGCTTAAAAGGTTTAAAAACTGTTTTTTTTAGAACATGGAAGACAGCCTATATGTTAATATTGCAAATGTATTTTTAGCAAAATGACACTTCTGAATCCTTTTTTTTTTTAAGATATAATTTTTGCCTATTTTCATTTTGAGTTTTCTATAAAAAATATTTATTAAAACCTAATTATTTTTATATTAAAATGTAAATTATGGTTTTTTGAGAACATAATGAAAAATTCAAACTTCAACTCGAAATCTTAAATATGTATAATTTTAATTAAATCAATTTTTGAGTTTCTGCCGCAATTTAATTGAGCCAACAAATGATGTGAAGCAACAAGTGTGAGAGAATTGAGCGCAAAAAATTATGATACATTGATGAAAAAAAATTGTGCTATATATACATATGTACATATATCTACAAGAAATAAAATAAATTTGATAAAAATTTGATCAGATTTTAAGTTCCAATTTAAGTTTGAAATTAGATTTGATTTTAAATTTTAAAGCATTATAAAATTAGAAAATGCTATGATTATTTTTTTCACACAATTTTGATTCGAAAATGAGCCGTTTCCAGTTGTCCTCTTTCATACATAGGAACATAATTAAAATATTATAGCGAAACCGTCTGAAGTTTTTAATAGCCTGATCATGCGTCTCACTTTTTTATTCACTTTTTATTCACTTTCAAATCAGAATTCGCAGTCATTTCTAATGGATATTTCTAAAGTGAAACACTTTTCCAATAAGATTACTCATTTTTTCTCAATTCAATTTTAGCATTTTTTCTCAAATTAACGACTGAACGTCTTACTATCAAAAACAAAATGAATAAATTTTTTATGCATTTTAGAAAAAAACGAGGTACGCAATACCAAATAATTCTTCTCACTCGAAAATTACATTACACAATATATGATATGAATATATGATATGATATTCCTCACTTTCTTCTTATTTTCCGAGTAAAATAACGAGATAGACGATCGGTCCCTAAATTTAATTACGAGAAATTTTAGGTAAATTAATGAACTAAGCTTACTACCACTGCCAACATAAGAAAAATGCATCATATCCCTCTGCAATGTGGTATGGAAAGAATAATATTATTTTTTTATATTAAATAATATTATATATGTATTTTTTTTATCTTCTAATATAACTAAACTTACATACATTCCTAAAAAGAATTATATAGATTTTTAACAAAAAAGGATATGTTATGGAATAACGTAATTTATAGAATTGTGAAGCATGCAAATATAATTAAAACACACACAGATAAATATGAAAAACATACATAAATACATGTGAATATATAAGTAATAATACATAATTAGCAAATTAATTAATGTCAAACGTACATATGCTTTCTGAAATTTTTGTATATATGTATACAAAAAACAACTTAAAACTTCAAAAAAAATTAGTCATCTTTTTTTCTCGTAGCATTAATTGAAATCTTAAAAAAATGAACAGGGTTTGGTAAATTTTTTTGAATTTAATGGAAAATAAAAGTTTAGTTCATTTGTTACTAATAAAGTGATCGTAAATCGACTACTAAATGAAAAGAAAAAGGTGTTTAATTCAACTTTATGATCAAAGTCGCCCTTGTTTCGTCAAAATGGCGCAGTTCTGGTAGAGTTTAAAAATAACGAGAAAAAATAGAGTTGACCTTGTCAACTCTGTGATACCCGTACGAATTTGTTATCCTATGTGCGAATAAATAAGCCATAACTGACTATGGTACAGACTATGACTTTAAGTTGCCGTATTACCATATTAATTTATGGAAAATTTCAGTACTGTATTTTTTAAAATACTGTGTGTACCACACTACTATTGAAGTTGTATGGCAGCTACCAGAAAGAGCCAAGAAATTTTAACGAATTTTGTCAAGCACATCGGCCCTACTAATATATTCGCTTGTGTAAAATATCAATATTACAGCTTTTATAGTTTCTGAGATACAGCCAAATAACTTTTGAAGTTATATGGCAGCTACCCGAACCGGTACCCCGATCATGTTCAATTTAAATAAGGTTCTGGCACTTACTACAATAAATCATTTGTGAAAATTTGGTGAACTGAGCTCAATTAGTTTTTGAGTTATCGTTGGGACGGACGGACGGACAGACAAAGCTAAATCAACTCAGAATTCGACGCTGATCAAAAACATACACTTGAGTTTATATCTAAGACTGTTATATCTCAGCGTTACAAACGGTAAGGCAAATTTAGTATACCCTTCGAACATACGTTCGTACGGGTATAAATGTGGAAAAAGATTGAATTTTAAATGTTTTTAAATAAAAATTAAAAAAAAATTAGATTAATGAAGTTAAAAAGAGCTTTTATATCTTCAATAAGAATACGATTAAATTCGTCAGCTGTGAATTGTCACTTCCTTTTAGAGTTCATATCTGTATTTCTCTCAGCTGTGGTTCAAACACAGCTTTAAGGATATTTTTTATGCTTAACTTAAGGTCCAATATCATTTCATAAAAAAGTTTAAATATGTAGCAGTTCTGTCAGTTTGTCAAAACCAATTTTAAATAAAATGGATAATAAAAATTATATTACTGAAAGCTTACAAAAAAAAAAAAAAATAAAAAAAATAAAAATAAATTATATATTAAGAAATAACGAATCTACTGCTAAGCTATTATACAAAAAATAGAGCACAAGAAATATAAGCTACGCTTGTATGTTTTTTTCTGAACCGCACTGCTAGATCTTTCCTTACCTTACGAATTTATACGGATATTATACTGGTGTACCAATTAAAATCCATATATAGCCATCCCAACGATAGCCGTTGTAGTCAATCAGTGAGTAATGATTTGAAATGAACTTGAGTTTTAAAACAAAAAACTTAAAAATATTGCACTTTTTCACGCTCCACTGTTTTGCTTTAGGACCTCTAGGAATCTTCATGAATAGTATATTTAGCATGAACATAGTAAAGTTCCGCAAGGACCGAGCTACATCTGTCATAATTAAACGTTCAATCCTATTCCTACGCATATAAACTTTGATAACCTGTTTTGATATCGCTCTCATGCATCAGCATTATGTATACTAAACAAGAAAAGTAAAATAGAATACGATAAACTGTCACGCTGTATTTTTTTTTTGGTTGACAACATTTTATCGCACACTTCACATATGATATCAAAAGCAAACGAACATATTATGAATATGCACGTATTTTTATTATCAATACTCGTATGCACATCAAAATCGTTTTCAGTTTAAATACAAATACGTATGTTTTTTTTATTTTTAAATAATCGTCTACTTCTCAGAATATAAAATAGAAGCGGATATATGTATGTGTGCAACACATACGTATATATGTTAATACTTATAATATGTTAATACGAATTCATATTTTTTATCGAAAAATATTTATAAGCTAAAAAAAAACTTATATAGAATTAGAGAAAAATATTTATAATCAAAAAAAAAACTTATATCGATATATATTTTTTTATATCTTCCAGAGCCTGCTAATAAGAAATGGAAGCGAACAATTCAAACGATTTGTTGAAACTCCTCAACCTCTTTCTTTTAAAGTTTATATATTTAACATAACGAATCCGGATGAAGTACAACAAGGTGCTATTCCGACCGTTAGTGAAATTGGTCCTTACGTGTATAGGTATTACATATTTATTTTATGTGTAAGAAATTTCCTAATAAATACTAATTTTTTATATAGGCAATACAGGCGTAAAATAATAAAAGAGTTCTCCAAAGACAACACTACAGTTACTTACGTTCAACAACAATTTTACATTTTTGATAAAGTTGCTTCCTTACCTTACTCTGAAACCGATAATGTAACTGTGGTCAATATGCATATGAATGTAAATTTAATTGGCTTAAGAAAAATTTGCGTTTAAATATTAATTTTAAATCCACAGGCATTTTTACAGGCGTTTGAAAGTGAAGCGAAAGACACCTTCCAAATATTTTTCATGAAAATTAATAAAACCCTAGAGAGGACACCTGGCGTCAGGCTAATAAAAAGAGTAGTACAAGGATTTCGCGGCAAACGGAAAGTAATTTTATTCAAATTTAAAAATTTTAGCATAGAAATTATGTGATCTAAATATTAGAAGTTGCAATTAATTAAAACAAAAATATTCTAACTAAACTTAGTCAGAATTTGCTTTATTAATTTGCGGAAATAAATTTAAAGAAAGATAATAATTCGCCAAAGAACTTTTTTTAGAATTTTTACTCCATCACTATTTCTTATGCAAACTCTTATATTAGATCAATATAGAAATGTATCAATTTTTCTTCACTATTAATATAAGATAATTTTTTTCATTTTCAATAGACTTTACTACATTCTCCCAAGGACCCCGCACTAGCTATTTTAATGAGACACATCAACGCCAATATTAAAGACATATTCAATAATCCAAAATCAATGTTCCTTACTACTTCTGTTAATGAGTACTTATTTGAAGGAGTAAAATTTTGTATTAATCCTACGGGTTTAGCACGGGCGATTTGTAATCAAATAAAAGAATATGGATCTAAAACCATACGAACCATGGAAGATGGAAGCTTATCATTTTCATATTTTCATCATGTAAGTGAAAACTAGTTTTCTGTAATATCCGTACGTAATTAAATTTAATATTTGAAGAAAAATCAAACTGAGAAAGCTTTGATTGAAGTAAATACTGGAATTGAAAACATAGAGAACATAATGAAAATTAAAAAATGGAATGCAAAAAGTTATCTAAATACATGGCTTAATGTCGTGTCCAATGAAACAATGAAACCTTCAATCTGTAATATGATAAATGGTACCGACGCATCTTTATTCGCCCCTTTTCATAAAAAAGGCGATTCGATGTACATCTTCAGTTCCGACATATGCAGATCTGTGCAGTTATTTTACGAACAAAATGTTATGTATTCAGGAATACCGGGCTTTAGATATTCAATTGGTGCAAATTTCGTCAATGATATAGGACCGGAATATTCTAACGAATGTTTTTGTATTGATAAGCTTCCAAATCTTTTCAAAAGATCGAATGGATGTTTATATTCTGGTGCTTTGGATTTGACGCATTGTATGAGTAAGTAATTTTTTTAGTTGACGCATTTAGTTTTCAACTGTATTACTAATTAAGATTATTGTATTTATTGATAAGTATTTTTGTTCTTTAATAGCTTCCGTATAGGAAAAATTCAGGTTTTTTTTAAAAAACATATTTGAAAACGCAGAAAAAAATCATATTAAATATAATTCAATATAATACAGTACAAATATAGATATAAATTCGTATAGCTTATTTGTTAGATTACGAGTTAGGCTTTGAAAATCGTGATCTGAGGTTAGGCCTTATAATTCCGAGAAATTTATATCTTAACACTTTGTAAGCGTGATAATGTTTTGTATCAGGAGATATGTAGGTTTGAATTCGTTAAGAAACTAAATAAATACCAAATTCGTTAAGAAACTAAGTACCAAATGTGGTGAGTTAGCTGGTAATATATATAAAATAATATAAGAAACCGCTATTATAACAATATCATATCATATAATATACCCTTATTAGACTATTTTCTTGAATTGTCAAAAGAATACACAATAAATGTACGCTTTTTTCCAAACCATGTATTTGATAAATTAGATAGATATTTTTTTATATTACACACCGACAACCGATGAAATAAAGCCCTCATATTTTTTTCTTATTGAAAACATTTTTAAAATAGAAAAATAAAACTGTAGGAATACAATAAAAAAAATCTGATGTGGTCAGCACATAACCGACCGTATTGTGTATTGTCTAGTTAAATGAAAGTGTTACAGAATATTGTAAAAATGTCTGTTAAATACTTCTTCCCAATTTTTAAGACATTAGTAAGCTTATAGTTAACATACCTAGAAAAATGTAAATTCGGCTCTTAGTAGAGTTTCGCTTTGTGCTACATACTCGAATTCCCTGAAATGCTCGCCAGTTAGTTGCGGTAACAACCAGAACTCAAATATCAAATTTCAAGAAATTCCATCAATTCCTTCCGTAGATATGGTGAAAAATGTAAAATCGGCCCGCAGATCAGTTTTCGAGCCCTGATCTTTCCAAAAAATGTACATATTCATTGTTTTAATACGAGGAATTCAAATATTAAAGTTCAATGAAATCGGTTGATTATTTCTCTTTATATACACAAAAATGTATATTTGGCCCATAGTAAACGTCCAGTTGCTGATGCCTGATTTGTTCCAAAAGTTAGGAATTTTCGCGGACGGTTCAGCAAAGCTCAAATATGTAATTTCAAGTAAATTGGTTCAACATTTTCTTTAAAATGGTGAAAAATGTAAAATCGGCCCACAAATCAGTTTTCGAGCCCTGATCTTTCCAAAAAATTTATATGTTCATTGCTTTAATATGAGGAATTCATATATTAAATTTCAATGAAATCGGTTGATTATTTCTCTTTATATACGCAAAAATGTATATTTGGCCCGTAGTAAATGTCTAGTTGCCGACACCTGATTTCTTCCAAAACGTAGGAATTTTCGCGGACGGTCGAGCTGAGCTTATATATAAAATTTCAAGTAAATCGGTTGAATATCTTCTTCAAAATGTTCAAAAATGTAAAACAGGCCCGCTAAAAAGTGCAGTTCCCGAGGCCTGATATATACCAAAAGTTGATGGATCCGTGCCATGGTGGAAATAAACTTACATATAAAATTTCATCAAAATCGGTTCAGCCGAACTTGAGATACACGCGTGCACACACAGACCTACAATACCATTGGTTTGACTAACTATTTGATGTATACTTTTAATACAACTTGTCAAAAAATTGAAAAATTTTAAGTTTAAAGCTTATTCATAAGACAAAGTTTATTAGTTTTTGCTAAGTTATCTGGATTAAATGGAGAACAAGTGTGTTCATACTATCTTCTCTATTGCAAAATTATTGGGGTATTTTTCATTACAAAATATTAGAACAAAAAGTGATATCAATACCAAAGATGATCTTTTAGCAGTTTTTTCTCATTTTCCGATTTCTAAGTTTCTCTAATACTTTTCAAGAGTTTGTGTTGTATGTTTGCTTATTTAATTTTTTTATTATTAGTGAGTATGTAATAATGCCATACATGTATATCGATATAATGTGATGCCAATAGACCTATATGGAATTAGTTGACAATATGAAATCGTACATCATACATATGTATATTTGGTTAAGTTCTTTATTCTTGTATTCTTGCTTCTTATATTTTTTAGCATTTTTCCAAAAAATTTTTGAAAAAATGTGCTTATTAGTTTCACTCTGTCCGTCCGTCCGTCTGTCCGTGTGTCTGTTTACAAAACTTCTACACGCTTGAAGATAGAAAGCTAAAATTTTGTGTGTACATAGATCTTTACTAGATTTCCGTAGAACAAAATTTTTAGCTATCTCCCCCTCTCTAGAAGTTATACCCCCCCAAAACCCTAAAAATGCCACTTTTAACTATTTGTTGCAATGAAACATAAGTATTTTTGAAATTTTTCAAACGCAGAAAGGCAGCGACTTGGTTCCCCTAGCGCAGTATACTATAGTTAAACTTTAGAAAAACAAAATGGCCGTTCAAATTTACCGTCATCTAAAGTCTTTTTTTTTTCAAATTTTTGATTTCGTTTTCTTCTAGACCCAGCCTGTAGAAACTTGAAATTTTAGGGGCTGTTAGACATTAATAAATAGTTCATTTCGTTGGAAAAAAATTTTTTTCCATCTCCACCCCCTCTCAAGTTATCGCTTCTTGAAATTTGTAAAATTTGAATTTTTGACACCTTATATTTCCGAAACAGCAAGCTTTTTCAAATTTCTATAAACACAAAAAGCTAACGGTAAATTCCATGGCATTAAAAAATATAATTATTTTTCTTAACTCACACAATTAACCCTTAAAATCGAATATTATATTAACCCCTATTATATTAATTTTTCCTTTATTTCAAAGACTGCATGTATGCATCATCCTAAATATATGCAATCCTAGAAATAGTTTTGTATATGAATGAAAATAATTTTAATAGTGTGATAGGTATACATAGACTGTATTTAAAAGCAGACTTTTCACTTGTTGAAGGGAAAAGTGCTACAATACAAACCAGTGGTTTGACCCAACTTTATTATTTTTGCTTTTATTCATCATTAAAGAAAAGAAATCGAATGAGATTCTTTCTGACTCGGTTTTTTCTTAAATAAACCTTACAGGAGTAAGCAAAAAACACATAATTTTCATAACTCTTAGTAGTCATAAGTGGTTTTTATTTTTCTTGCTTTTTTCTTTCTCCAATAATAACATTATTATGCAAACTTACATATTTCCCGATCAGAATGCATGGTAGACTTAACACAATATCTAAATAAATAATTTTGAGAGAAATATCGATCTGTCTGTCGGTCTGTGTATGCGTGTATCTCAATTTCGGCTGAACTGATATTGAAATAATTTTGCATGTGATCTTATTTTAGCTATGTTACAAATTGATCTACTTTTGAAATGTATCAGACCTGGGGAACTGGGCCTCTTCTCTGGTCAATTTTATATTTTTATTCATATAAAGAGCAATAATCAACCAATTTTTTTAAAATTTAATATTTGAATTCTTGCTGTTGCCGAAACTCACTGGTAAACTTTTCAGGGAATTCGGATGGCAGAGCGCAAAAGTGTGCATGTTAACTCTTTTTCTGAGCATGTTAACTAAAAGTTTACTTTCTTGAAATTGGAAAGAAGTGTTTAGAAGGCGTCTTTAAATCTTCCATAATACTTTCGCTCAACCAGGCATAGCAAATGTTTCCCAAAAGTGTCTCTGATGTAGCGCAAAAAAGTGGTAAATTTTTTTGAGATGGTGCAAAAAAGTGCTTAATTTTCAAATTCTGAATCAAAGATTAAGTTTTCAGTCTTTTTATATCAATTAGAGACCTAGATAAAGCGAACGTGAGATGTGTTTGTTAAGCGCTCTAATTTTTTTTGTAGATTGTGTTTTCAACTAAAACCGAAGAACATCGAACGTGTTGTCTATTACCTTCATTCTCTTGAAAAAAATGAGAACATATCAGTTACTCACAAAAAAAATTTCAGTTTAGTGGTTGCTCTCAAACCAAATGAAATCATGTTGCATAGTAAATTTCATATTCGTTTTTTTGTAATTTTTTATAATTTTTATTTTTGAAGTTTTTAATTCAAAACAGTTAAATAAAAAAAAAAGAGAAATAATTTTTTGTATAGGAGATTCATAAAATGCTCCATAACTCAGATATCAAAATAGATGACAATGATGAAGACGAAGAAAAAGTATTATTATTTAAACCCAGAAAGTCTGTTAATGAAATAAACGACGCTGATTTTAAAGAACGAATTTTTTTGTAAAAATGTTTTACAGAAAATAATTTTAAAGACGCCGCAATGTACTCTAAAATGTATGTTTTAAAAACTTTTGGAAACAAAATGTTAATATCGATACAACAAATGTCACTATAGATAAATAAAACATTTTATGAGAGTTGTATTATTTTGGGATGTTTGAAATTCCCCAAAATGCGTATGTGTTGGGCTAAAGCTACGCGAATTGATTGTCAAGAGACAGATTCATTCAACTAACAAGTAAAATTCATTTCGCAGATACCAGCAAACCCGATAACCCAGATACCAGCAAATTTTGAAGAATCCAGACAACTCCCCAAACCAAAAATTTTTTTTGTGCGATTTATGTTATTTTGGTACGAAAGTACATAAGTACACCAATACGAAAAGGTTTATTTAATAAAAATATTAATGTTATGAATTAAAAATTCATATTCAAGACTTTTTCTAATTTTCTCTTATTAACAAAATATTTTTCCATAATTAAGAATGTGTAAATAAATCTTATGCTTAAAAAACCATGTGAAAAAATCCAAAATAAAATATACATTACCTTTATTGATTTACTTTTATTGAAGCTATATGTAAAAAAATTTTGAAAAAAGAAAATTTGATCGAAAAAACCATTAAAATTTATTTCAAGAGAACATTCTTATTTAAAGTCGTTTTTCTCGATCAATTTTTTTACATAATTTTTAAAAGTCT